AATTTGAATAATCATTCAATCTAAATATAAATGTAGCATATTAAAGCTAAATTTAAACGCTTTAAAATAATGTATCACATGGTACAATTGCAATACATTATGTCAGATTTATATTGACTTAAAGTCAGTCCGGATTTCAAAAGAACACCCGTTATATATATATATATATATATATATAGTTCAATGTTATTTTTTAGTTAAAATAACATTTAGTTTCAATTACTATGCAGTTAATACTTAAGAATAGCATCGAAACAATTTAGCTAAAAATAGAAAAAGTGCAATTCAACAAGATTTTTTTATTATAATTTGTTTCTTCTTCTTATTATTTTTTTAATGGTTATTATTTTTAAACTTTTATATAATTTTTTAAATTAACATTAGGGAACCATTAAAGGTTCAAGGGTCTTGAGGCTCCCCTAAAATTATATTTTTTCTTTAAAAAATGTTTAAATCTAGTGTTATTTTATCATATCGAACACCTTAATGTGCGAGCTGCCGATATTTTTCAAAAATATTGTTTTATGAACAATCCATATATGACTTGAACTATAATGCAGAAGATAACTAGTTGTTTTGTAAATTGTTTTCTGTTAATTATTATTGGTAATTTTATTTGATTATTGTTTTATTTAAGATGATGGTAGCCTTCCTTTACCAGACATTCAAATTTTTCTTAATCAATGGTGTTATCAAGGGAGTCTTTTTGATCCAGCAAAAATATCTAAAATGAAGCCAAAGACACCTAAAGAGCGGCCTGCTGAAGTTCTAAAATGTTTAATTGAAATTCTTATATCAGTTGCAAATAGTAAAGATCAATTACTTGAAATAATAGAAGCTGGTTTTGGAACAAGAATTTTTAATAAAGCTAAAGATAAAGTTGTCAAAAAGGTTTTATTAAAAAAAAAATTTTTTTCAATATTTTGTTTTAAAGTAAAAAATTTTCACTTTTTTGGATTAATATCTTTCAGGGGTTATTTCGATTTAATACAAAAAAAAAAATCGAAAGGTTTTTAGTTCGCTTAACAAAGAAACTTGGTTCTTGTGAAAATTTTCTGAGCCTTGAAGATAGGGATTGTAATAAAGATTGCCAAAATAGTTAGTATTCACTTTTGACATTCTTACCTTTTATTGAGAGTTTTGTTTATTTTAAAAATAGTTTTGTTTATTTTGAAAATAGTTTTAATTATCTTTAATTATAGCTATTATGTATAACCTATGTTATCAACATATTTTATGTTTGACCTATGCTATCCACATATTTAATGTTTAACCTATGTTATCAACATATTTAATTTAAAACTATATTTAATCAGTTGACTAATGAAAGGTTTTATATTTGTTGACTAATAAAAGATGTTTTTAGCTTACTATGGAGGTTTTGTAAAAAGGGAAAAAAAAGACTTTGTTCAAATGAAGACAAAATCAGAGGTAATAAAAATTGAGTTAAATTGACTGTTTGATTGTCCTGAAAAAAAAAAATTTCTTATAATGATTTATGTTTTTGTTGATATACATCCATAGAACAAATAAAAGTTGTTTAATGACAAGGAACTTGCTAGACAATTTTAGTAAATTCAACATAGTAATATCAAATAAATTTTAACAGTTTTGTTTAATGGAATTGCAGTAGTCCAGCTGTTATTAGGCAGATAATTAAATTTAACGGTTTATTATATATTTAACATCTGTTAATTAAGCAGATAATTTAATTCAACTGATCTATGATTCAACTAAATATGAAAATAATCCATTAAACAATGAGATTATTTTAAAGTAGTTTTTTATTTATAATTAGATTATTTTAGCTATTAATTAAATAATTTAAAACAATTTTTTATATATTTAAAATACAATGAACTGCATTGACCTTGAAGCTATTTTAGAAGTGGTGCATCTAACATAGAACAAATTTTGTAAAACCAATTTATAACATTTGTTCCATGCTCGTAGCAAAGTGTATTATTTTTAAAACAAAATAAAAAACACAAAATAAAAATAAAATTTTTATTGTCATAATTTATTTTAATTTTTTGTTTATTTGTTTGTTTTTTACACTTTAATAGCATTTCATTTTCAAATATTTAGTTATACTATCCTTATAAAGAAAAATACTTGCTGTAACATAATATTAATATAAATAATACTAAATTAGATTGCTTCTAATTACTTTAGTTACTTTTGAAAATAATTAGCTTCTAAAATCTTTGAAATTTAAATAAAAGAAATGTGCTGGGTTAATAATTTGGTAAATAATATGTTTTGGGTTAATATTGACTTTTTTATTTACAAAGTTGGGTTAAATTTTACCATAGTAAAAAAACTACATAGAAAAAAAAGTTTTAAAGTAGTCTTGGTGTCAGCTGGTTAATTTGATCATTGGCTTTTTGCACATTGATCTTATTTGAAATAAAGTTAATATTGTTATCATTCATATCAAGGAAAATTTGATGCTTTCAAGGAGTAAATGAATGAGGAGGTTGGGTGAGTGTAGGTTTGGATCACTAGGTGATATAAACCTCCAGTTCCGCAATAGGTTGTATTTTGTTTTCTCTATATTTAATTAAAGAATTTATTTTTTGATGTTTATTTATATATTTACATATTTTTTTTAATTTAAAGAAGATTTAAATATTATTAAATAAGTAATAAAATAAATTGAAAATATAAAGAAATAATTATTAGTATTCAAAACAGCTTTCTTTGGTAGAAAAAAAAAAAAGGTTTAAATTTAAAGATTATTTTTTTATGTTAGGCTTTCTAGACAAATGAATAATTTACAATCAAATAAACTATTTACATATTTTATATATTAGTTAAAAGCATTATTATGAATAATTTATTTTTATAAAAAATTAGTTAATCAATAAAAACAGTTCACATCACATTGACTTATGTTTTAATTAGTATTTTTATTGAAGTGTTACAACATTGACTGTTAACATTTACAACTCATCGTTTTATTTTCAGTTGTATTGTTTTGGTTATTTAGATAATATTGTTTGTTTCAAAACACACTGCCAAACTGTTTTATAATTTATGTGCTCTATAATTTTGAATTGAAAATGGTTAGAATAATCACCAATAGAATTATTAGCTTTAGAATATAAATGATATTTCTAAAAATAATGATTTAAACACATTACTCTATATTATATGCTTTTTGTGACATCATAAGTTATTTTTTCTCCTGTAATATCGTATAATAAAGTTTATATTGTTTTGATTATTTTTTAGTCAACTGAAACAATTACAGATATTACTTGTCAAGGAACAAATGGATCAACTGTAAACAACATTGCACAACTTGATTGCTCATCTCAGCCTTTTAAAATGACAAACAATAAGCAGTTAATCATACAACCGCAAACCTTTAATCTTTCGCAAATATCTGAAAATACATCATGTAAAGTTTCAAAAAGTCTCCCGAATGACTCCCCCATTTGTTATGTAGTTTTAACTAAAGAAGATAATTTAGTAAATCCTATCCAATCAAACTCTGTACCTTCTACTCCATTGCTTTCAGTATCAACTTTAATACCTCCAATCTCTTTGCATGTGAATGCTTCTTACCCGAAACAAAACATGCTATCAAGTACACCAAAAGTTACACAAATGATTGAAAATATCTCAAAAACAACACTTTTAATGGATATTGATGAGCCATCGAGATCTACCATTAGTAAAAGTGAAGTGCCCAATGAACTACCCATGATGAAGCAAAGCAATAGTTCTGTATCTCTACCAAATTTGTCTGATTTTCAACATAGAGAAAGCTCTCCACATTCTCACTTGTATCAACAAAATAACATTTCTGATATGCTGCCACCAACTTACCAAGATGTTGTTCAAAATCACAACAGGAACCAGTATGAGAACCATCAGTATGTAGAAAATATATGTCATACAATGGAGCCTGCAGAAAAACAAATGCATGTTCATAAAATGCATCATGGAAATGCAAGAGTAAAGTATGTTTTGCCAGCTCAAGATCGTGATATTCATGATGGTAAACAATTCATTTCATCGCATTACATTGATGGACTTGATAAAATGTTTCAAGGTCAAGTACACTATCCTACCCAACGTACAGTTTCACCATCTAGTGGAAATATTTGTAGCCCATTGCACAGTCCTCCTGCTTTACGACCACCCCCATCTTTACATACACGTTCATTGCCTTTGCACAGTCCTCCAACATTGTTAGCTTCACCTGATGTTCGCCCCATGTTTGATTTCATATCTAGCTCTAATAGTACTCCAAATTATCAAAATATTCGCACTTTAACATATATGCAACCAGAAAAAACATACTCTATTGCCCATACAAATGTTCATATGCCAAAGCTACCTCCAAGTTTTGAGAACTGTCAGCAAAGAACTCAAAATCATCCAAAACCGATAAAGTTTCATCATATTGAAAGGCCACAAGCACAAAAATTACAATATAATGGAAATTTGCATCTACAACCAATGCATCAACAACATCAACCAAATCATGTAGAGAAGCAAAGAATTTCACCAATTAAATCTAAATCATTTATCTCATCAGGTATTTATTTTAAAATTTGTGTAATATGACCAATTTTTATTGTGTTTAAAATCAAAATAGATTTTGTAAATTAAAATTCACATGGTGTCTGCTTAGTAAGAGAAACATGAAATATGGATAAATACAAAATCTTCACATAGTTGCTTAAATATATCATGTTTGTCTCAAGTCATAAATTAAACTGTCAGTTATACCTAAAATACAGATGATTTTATTATTAAATTAATAAGAGAACAAATAATAAACAATAATTTTTTTTAAAGTTACTTATACAATAGCAGTGTGTTAACCAGGAATAAATTTGATACCGCGTTTTGACCAAATTGGGAATTTATCAAAATATTTCCTAATCCCTGAGATTATAATGTATTCCGGGAATGTGTGGGATCCTTTTCTTATATTCTTTCTTCTTCTACTCCACTGCAGCGCTGCATACATTGATTGGACAGCGCCAAAAATATAATGAAATACCGCCTGTAAGTTATATTGAAGATAAATATGAAATCAATAAAAAATTAGCCATAATTTCACAATGACATGGCAAATTAAGCTCTGATTTCCAAAGATGTATTAGGAATTATATATTTTTATATTATAAAATAATCAGTGTATTTTGATTAATTATTATCAAGAATAATATATTTGATTTGTTTTTAATCTTAATATATCGTTGCCGTTTTCATTTTGAGATTATTCTTTTGAATATATTTTTCTTTTTTAATGGAGGCATTAAATGGCGATTTTTAAAGTAATATAGAGATTTATATTCAATAAAAATCTCAGCGGAAGAGAGCTTATGATCTTCTACTTCTAATTATTATTTAAATTCTGCTCGACGTCCTTTATGTACAAACCCTGACACCATCATGTAATAAATTGTGTCCTCAAAAGAAATGTTTTAAAAATAAAAAAATATCGCTCATAAATTTCATATTTATTGAGTTAATTTTTAGAGTTCATTTATAGAGTTGAGTTCATTTATGAGTTCATTTTTATAATTAATATTAATTTTCTTTATACATAAATTGCATAGCGAAATAAAGTCACAATTATAATTTGCTGCAAAAACAACAGCAAATGTCGTTTAATTATATAAAATATTGGTCGCAAGCGCTTGCTCGCTACCGTGGCAACGAAAAGTATTTACAATTATTTTTTCATTTTGTGGTTGTAAAATAATACGATTACGGCTCATTCAATCATTTAAATTTCCTTTTACGTTTTAAATTCAAGCAAGAAGTGAATCCAGTTTTATTGATTTTTAAATTTCTAGTTTGTTGTAATAAAAAAAAAATATTCTTGTTATTAAACGTATTTAATTTTTATTTTAATATACATATTTAATTTACCTTTAAAATAAAATCATGCAGTAAAGTAAAAAAATCTATTTTCCTCGTTAAATAAATTTCTAGTACCAGTTACAGGCCTTGTGATGAATAAAAACTGCGCGACGCATAAGCACGATGTGATTTTTGACGTCATTAAACTCTTTTTATTTGCTTTTCATATTTATCAACATTAACTGCACCAATTTACCTAATTACCACAAAACTACTTTAAATTATTAATGTAGAAATGTTATTATTTAAAAATGTTTTGGAATGTTTCGTTTTTTAAAATGTTAAAACATTTGTTTATTTTCTCGACGTTTGACACGTTTTGTCTATACTAAACGAATAAAAAACATAACTAAACATTTAAAAAAGATTATAAAATATGCTAATATTTAATTTTTTTTTTCTCACAAATATGTAATTTAAAGTTTTTCAAATAATTATTTTTTCTTTTTAAAAAGTCAGAGAGTAATAAACTGGAAATTTTAATATTGTACGATTAAAAACTGTGCAATAGCTAATATTTTTACTAGCGTTTTTATATAATATTTATTTATTTTTATTTATTTTCATAAAGCGGTTGATAAGCACAATCACTACTATTACTAAAAAACTTAAGCAAACGTTTTGAATAGATTTTTAATGTTTACAAGGAATTTTATTTTTGGTAAAATAAAATAAAATGTTAGAATAAAAATCTTATAAGTATAAAAGACATATTTCAGGGAAAAAATTATTCTTAAAAATTATTCGAAAAACTATTGACATTATATTTTTCAGCAGCTGTTCTTGAGCACACTTCGTTGAGTTTCGGTAACTTTTAACAAAAAAGCGATTGTTATTATTTAAGTAGTTTTTTTCGAGTTACTTTTTACAAAAATTTTAATAACTGTACTTTTTTATTGAATCAAGTAGAATACGTTTTAATATTAATCCTTTTATTTTTTTTTTTTATTTGCGCTTACCAATTTTTAAAATGTTTCCTCAAAATTACTCTTAAATACTTTAAATTCGTCTAACAGTTAATTAATATTTTTAAATCTTTAGAATAATTTTAAAACCTAACAAACCCCCGTAAAATAATTATTTAAGTTTAAAATCTAAAACTAAAAGAAAGTATTTTTGTTCAATTTTATCGACAACTTTGCTATTGCTGAATAATTTTATTAAAATGTTAGCTTAAAAAGATTTAAACTTTTTTTTTAATCTGAATTTTTTCTACTTGTAAATAATGAGCATATTTATTTTTTTTGTAATTCAAACTTTTATATCAACTGTGTGCGGTTTTTAAAATACTTTATTAAATGTTAAAATAATCGTAAATTACTTCATTAAAATTCCGCTCAAAAATATCTTTAAATATACTCAAACAAAAAATTTTTTGCTTGACACAAATAGCCCTAGCTACACGCAAAATCGCTCTTAGACGACGTAAAATTCACATCGCCCGACGCTTTATCGCAAGGCCTGCAGTTATAATCATAAAATATTTTTTGTATTAAACTTATAAACTTATATTTCTTTTAAAAGAAGTTAGTAAAGAAAAGATAGTAGATAATTAAAAATGATTTTAGTCAATGCGATTACGTAATTCAGTTGATATAAAATACCAAACAAAAAAAGATAAACAATAACTTAAAGACCTATCATAATATCCGTAATTGATCAAAATTTCAAAAGAATCTGACGTAGGCGGTTTCTCATTATTTATTAACTAAGCACATGTACTACTTAAAGTAGAGTTTGCAGTAAGTCTTTATAAGTTATTTAACTTTTCAGCCAAAAAAGGCAAAAGTTTTAAAGAAATAGTATTTGTGGGTGTTAAACCGCACAAGTTTATTTGCAAATTTAGAGAAATGAATTTTACAAGCAAGTTGCAGAGAGAATCCCTAAAATTGCTGAGATAAACCCAATTCTAAAGAAGTTTTTTTTAAGAGACATTTTTGCAGTTATGCAATTGCGAATAACGGCGATTTTATTTCAAGTTTTTTATGTTATTTTTCTATTAGCTTTAAAAATAACTTATTATTTAAAATAATTTTTAGTCTTATAATTAAACTTTAAATTGGCAAGCTTTATTTGGAGAGCAACTAAATTGGGAGTTTGAATTTTTTGCGCATTTGGGAATACCGTGTTTAACGGGGCCCTACAGGGCTAGTTTATACCCTGAATAGTTTTATATTAGAATATTGTGGTGTTACTATAATACAATTATAATATTAATAATGTCATTTATCATGAGTACAAGTACATTCATTTATCATCTATCATGAGTACCAGTGCATTCATTAGCACTTTCATCATGCTTAGAAAATTATTTTATCCTTTTTTTAGCAAATTATGCTATCATTTGCATAACTAGTTACATAATTTTGGTTGCCACGCAAATTCATCTAAAAACCATATTAAAGAGTTATTTCTGCTTAACTGGTTCCAATTAGTTTAACTTTTTTTGCTCTTTCTTGGCAAAATTTACTTATTGTATCTACATATCAAAATTGTGTGGTGAAACAGTTAATTAATCAATTGAATTCTATAAAGATTTCAGTTAACACTCACTCTGCTCTTTTTCACCACACTTTACAAGTTCTTAGCTTCTAGATTAATTGATGAAAATAGCGTTAAAAACCACATTTAAATTATGCTTTCTTTTTAATTATGCTTTTTTGCTAGTGGTATTTGACAATTAAAATGCTAAATTATGCTAAATTATTATAATTTATGCTAAATTATACTTTCTTTTTCTTCTAGTAGTTTTTAACAATTTAAATTCTTAATGGTGGGTAATAGTAGTAATTTATTCCAATTAACTTTGGGGGCTATTTTAAAAATATTTTTCAATATTTAGTCAAAGAATCAGATGAATCATAAAAATGTTACTAAAAAGAAAACATTTAATTTTAACGATATTTAATTTTAATCCCAGAGTCTCAGATCCTAAAAAGTTTTTTTTGGCATAGCATAAATTTTAATTTCTACCCTTTTTTTTTCTGGAAACAATCCTTAAATTACCTAAATAAATTATAAAGGAAATCTCCAGAATATATCTTTTTGCATATTAATATTGTTGCAGACACCATAGTTCAAAACCACATCAACACTAAAAAAGTTATAAACTATTTTAGATAAAAAGAATTCAGTTGCTTACATACCAATACAAGCATCAAGTAAAGAAAATTTTGTTTATGTTCCTGTTAACTCAGTTAATGACGTACAACCTGTAGTACTTTACCAAAATAACCAAAACAAAACTGATCAAGGCAGACAAATCATTATTCCATTACACAGTAAAGATGATGGTAGAACTTTAAAAGATAAAATCAAGACACCCTTCACCAAGACACCCTTCACAACAGTTTGCATCCAAGGGATTCACCAGGCAAATTATATAGCAAAATCTTATTCCAAATCAGTTAAGAACAATACTACAATTAGCAATACCCCTATTAAAATTTCCCTGTCCTCTGATATAAAATTAGAAAATGTTACAAAAACAGAATTGAGTAACTTATCAGAAACAAAAAAGACAGTTTCTTGTGTAGAAAACATTGAATCCGAACCAAGTTACAAAAAACTTAATGATTTGCCACAAAATGTGTCAGAAGCATTAGTGGAAACCAATAGCAACTCTTCACGCTTTAAGTCAGAAGAAAATCACAAAAAGAAAAAAAAACGTGGACGACCTCCATCCGGTATGTTTATGTTCTCCAGTTTTTATGATGATGATGATGATGATAATGATGATGATGATGATGATGATGATGATGATGATGATGATGATGATGATGATGATGATGATGATGATGATGATGATGATGATGATGATGATGATGATGATGATGATGATGATGATGATGATGATGATGATGATGATGATGATGCAATTATATTACACATTTCATTTTTAGTATACCAATTACAAATGTATTTCTTTAAAATGTTTTTTTAGAGATAATTTAAAAACTTTAAAACTAAGGTGCTCTGTATTCCACCAACTAGAAATTGCAATTCAGGCTTCTTTGGTTGAGTTCTTCAAAATACCACTCGGTGTAGTTAAGGCACTTTTAAAATATTATAGGGTCTGTATGATATTTCGTTGATTATGATATATTTCCGTGAAATGGTCTGGTTTGTGAATTATGAAAAGACGAAAAAAATTAAAATAATAAATTTTCCGGTATCATAAAATATAAATGTTTGTAGCGAAAATTCCCAGACCGTGGAATCTTTTTTTAAAAAAAAAATCATCTTAAAATCACAATCGCTCGTCCAAATTTAAATAAGATTTTATATTAATATGTTTTTTAGGTGAAATAAACATTATAATTTAACAATATGATCTGTTTATTGGCAATTATTTATAATTATAAGCTCTTTCTTGGTCGGAATTCCAGTATTTTTTGTGAAAATTGATAGAAATATTGTGTTTTGACAACTATATATAGTTAATATACGTCAGAACCAATTAGAACTGAGATCAGTAGTAAATTAAGTAACTTTTTAAAAAGATTTTAACTAAATTCATATTAATGTCGATGAGCAAAATTGATCTAAAGACTCCAAAATAGTGTTCTTTAGATACATTATTACGGGTTGTAAAAAGGTTTTAAAAATTATATATAAAAAAGAAAAGTTTTTTCAAATATTATAAAAACCTTAAGCAAAAAAAATTATAACATTTAAAGATCTTATTTGGGCATAATATGCTGACAAAACCGTGCTAATTCCAAATAAAAGTATTCAAATATTTTGTAAATCGCCTTAACTACACCGAGCAGATACACTTCTTGTGTTAGAGTATCTGGTATTAACTCTCAAGTCAGCAATGTAGTCAAGGAAGTAACTTGGTTGGGGCTGAATGTACTTCATTAAATTTTTTTTTAGTTTTTAGTATGTTTGTCAAATGATCATTTTTACTATCTAATAAGTAGCTATTTGTTACAAAGTAAATAAAAATAATTAAAAATAATTATTTTTTACAATTTAGATCAAAAAAATCTTGCAAAGATTAAAAAAAAAAAAATTTAACTTTTATTTTTGTTCAGAAATGGTATAGACTAAAATAGATTATATATATCTATGTTCTCTTTATGAATTTTAAACTTGTTAATAATTTGTAAAACCAATGGGTCCATGATGATTTAATTAGATACAATTCAGGTAATTGTTTAAAAAAAGTTGGAAACCATTTCATATAACATAGAAGTATAGAAAAAGCTGAAAGAAACCTTTTCTCGTAATTATAATTATTTCTTATTATAGAAAATTAAATTAAAGGAACTTTCCTTTTTCTTTACAAAAAACCTGTTAAAAAAAGAAAGTTTTGTTGATCTGGGGTTTAACAATTTCAACTTAGAAAATATGAAGAAAAATTTTACTTTAGTCCTAGTTTATTTTTAACTCAAATTAAAATTTAAAACAGATGGTATCCTTATAGAAGTAAAACAATGTATCTAAAAAAAAGATTTTTTAAAATAAATTTTAAGAAAAATTTAATTTATTTTTTGTTTTGGGTAAAAAACTTCCAGGATTTATCTTCGGATTTTGTTAAGAATTGTGAAATCCAAGGATTTCAAAATTCAAATCAACTAATATACATAAATGCTAAATAGAAACCTTTTTTTAAAACTACAATCATATAACACTTGATTTTTGTAATGTTTAGTTATTTTGATCAGACAGTTCAGTGTTATTTTAGTTGGACAAGTTCACAGTTATGTTAATTAAATGCTGTATTTAATTTAGCTATTAAAACGAATGATGATAGTTCCATTATTTCAAATCTGCCAATACCATGTGCTTCTCCATTAACTTTGCAAGATTCCAACAATGTCTCAAATCATTTATTAATGGAAACATTTAAAAGTTAGTGATACTTTTTTTTTCATCAAATTTATTTTATTTTAACGGTAATTGAATTAGTGATACATGGTGGCCATTGTCCTGGAATTTTCGGGATTTTTACAAGTGTCCTGAAATGTCCTGGAAAATTTCATTTTTTCAAAAATGTTCTAAATTGTCCTTGAATTGTTATTTTTCTAAATAAAATTAAAAAATTATTATTAATATTGCAGTAAAATTAATTTTTTATATTATATAAAAAGTTATTAATATTGCAGTAAAATTAATTTTTTATACTATATAAAAATTATCTATTATATATTATTAAAATTTTAAAAAACAGCTGCAGTATGAATGATACAATGAATATGTTAAAATAAGATAATTTGACGCAAAATTTAAAAGCTCTTAACAAATGCCACTAAACCAAAAAAATTAAAAATAATTGCTTAAAAATTTATTATAGTGCAAATTTTATTTTAGTGAATATAGTAATTGTAGTTCAAAATTTTATTATAGTACTTAAAAATTTTATTATAGTGCCTTGGTTTTTGCAAAGAAATGCTATATAAATCATTTTTTAATCGTAATATAAACTAATTTTTTTTAAACTTTGTTGTGCTTAACCATCTCTGTATAAACGCTTAACCATCTCTATATAAACATATATGCTATTTGACCATGTATATATAAACATATATGCTATTTGTTTATATATATATTGTTTATAAAATGTAAAAAAATCCACTTATATAACATTTTATTCAGGATGGTATGTAATATAAGTAAACTTTTCTAATAAAAATTTAATTATGTCTTTTTTGCTCAAGCTGTTTTTTTTTTATTTTTTGTAGTTATGTTGTTATATTTTAAAAAAATTGACAAGATTAAAAAAACACCAAACATATTATCACTTCCGAGTGGAAAATTTGAAACTTCAACTTTAGTTTTGCTCCTCTCCGATAATTTCTGATTTCTAAAGTTATGTCATCTGCTTCTTAGACCTTTAAAAATGATATTCATAGAAATAACATTTTATTTCAATTTTTTATAAAAACTCTATTAAAGATATATGGAATACATTTTTATGGGATATATTCTAATAAAGACAAAAGGGGCCATCCATAAAGGGCGTCATCTAAGTAGGGAGGGGGGAGGGGTTCGAGATAAAAAGGACAAAAAAGAACAAGGGGAGTGGGAGTTTGTCAGAAAAGGACGTCACTTCATAAATTTTTTTCATTTTAGTTTAATTAACAGATTTAAACATTATTGCAAGATAAAATAATTTATTGGGGGGGTTTAAATTGGGGAGGGTGCAGGATTTTAAGACGTCCTTTTTAAGAGGGTATAGGGAAAAAGGACAACCAGTGACAAAGGGGGGGAGGGGTCAAAAATTGCCTAAAAAATGATGGCGTCCTTTATGGATGGCCCCAAAACTATTTTTTTAATACTATTGTAATAGATACAATCTCTTATCTGTGAAAATGATATATCTGTACCAGTTTTATATATTTTAATGCATTTGTATGCAACATAATAAAAATTATTTAAAAAATGTAAGATAAATGCAAAAGGAAACTTGACGCATAAAGGTTTACTTTGCCACAAACTGACGTCAATGCGCAAAATCTTTTTGACTTAACTTTTAGATAAGCGTTTAATATTATTCTTTATTTCTTAATCATAAGAATTAATTTTTTTTTTTATGACTTTGGTTTAGTGCTCTTAAATCTTCTTAATTTCATTTGTATAGCATTATGTACAAAATTATGTACATTATTATAAGTGTAAACGTCTTTATGTTGAGTTTGCTGGCATTTTATGGAATAATCGTGTATATCTATATATGTATTAATTAAGAAAACTTGAAAATTTTACTGATGACAGCGCATTTAACTACTGCGCTAGTTTATTATCTTAGTACAAATTTATTATTTAATTATAAGGTAATTATTATTTAAGGTAATTATTACCTTCAAAACACTTTAGATTATAGAAAAACAACCTACTTCTAAAACACTGGGTGTAGTATTTATAAATGAACTACTTTAATTCACATTTTTGTTTTATTTACTTTAAATTTGTTTTTATTTTGTTTTTATTTTTAAATTTGTTTTTATTTTGTTTTGTTATATTTGAAATTGTTGAATTTTTATCTTGCATATAAAATAGTAGTATTTAATTTTTCTAAAATTCTGCTTTTTTTTTTTTTTTAATTTATTATCTTAGTACAAATTTATTATTTAATTATAAGGTAATTATTATTTAAGGTAATTATTACCTTCAAAACACTTTAGATTATAGAAAAACAACCTACTTCTAAAACACTGGGTGTAGTATTTATAAATGAACAACTTATAGCTGCTGAAATTAAAAGTTTTATCAAAATCTTTTCAAAAACTTTGCAAAAGACTAAACTACCAGAAAAATATTACTTGCACAAAATTTGATGATTTTTTTTTTTTTTACATCGCCCTTTTGGGGTAAAAGGCCCGAGCCGTATTTTCTCAAAAACTGCAGGGCAAAAATGAGGCAAGTTTCTGTTTTTCGTATCTTAGTATCATGCTCTAACAATATCGCAACAAAAAACTTAGGTATTACAAGTGTCCAACGAAAACTTATTCTTAAGAAAAAATTTAAAATTAAAAAATTTAGAAACAATTACTATTTGGCAATTTGTTAAAAAAAAATCTTTAAATGAAATATTGTCAAAAGTTGTGACTGTTAATGAAATGGTAATCACAGCAATGAGTAAATCTCAAGCTGGTTATGTGCAACAAACAGTATATAAAATGCAAAAAAGTCTGACAACTAAGTCTATCAGAAGCTTTTATAAAGAAAAATGTACTGAACTTCTGGAAAATTTTGTTAAATTAAAAAATGCAAAGCATAAATTTGCAATTACAGTGGACAAATGGACAGATACACTATTTTACATTTTGTAAATGTAACAGCTTATGTGCTTGGAATAGACTCAAATATAATTGAATGCTATGTTCTGGGTTTGTGGAAAAAAAATTCATTATAAGTAGTCTTATCTTTACAAGATAAGACTACTTATAATGAATAAAAGTTGAACTATGAGTAAGAATATTGTTCATAAAATGCAAGAAATTGCGTTTAAAATGTTAATAATATATTATAAATATATAATATAAATGAAAAGTGTTATTTAGATAAATTGCAGAAATAAAGTGAAAGTTTAAATGTAATTTAAACTTTTTTAATCCAAACAGTTAATAGAAATGCTAAAATTAAACGTAAGTTTTTTTGTTTTATTTATAATATAAAAATGACAGGTATATTACAAAGTATACAAATATCTTTTTGCTCTTCGCCTTGCATGAAATGTTGTTAATGACATGTTACTGAAATAAGCCATCATTAGGGGCTTCAGTATGTACATTGACTAAGGTTTAGCATTTCAGCAGGCACTATCTAGATATGCAGGACTTTTAATATGAAAAAAAAACCTATTATTCTTCATATCTATCTTTTTTTTTTCTGTAAACTTTTTCTGTAAAAGGGTTTAAATTTTTTGCACTTTTTAATCACATTTTATAAGTTAAAAGTTTCTGCATTTCCATATTTTACCCAAGCCCTTTTTCATAGTTTTTTCATGTTATTTAATTCATTGATAATATGATTATAATTTTTATACTTAACTTAATTAAACTTTATGGTTATGTGTTTTGTTAATTTTGTTTATTTACTCTTTACTTATAGTTTACATAAATAATTTCATATTGTTTTATTCTATATAAATGATGCAGTTTGAAAAAAGTGAATAAAAACTACTTGAATATTTTTGTTACAATTAAATTTTTAATCATAAAACTTTTTTATTGAAATATTTTAACTAAATTGACTTTTACTAAAATTAGTCGATTTCAAGAGTAGTAGTAGTAGTGGTAAAAGATCTAAATTAAACTTTATATTTTTAATATAGAGCAGCAGGATAGAAATAATCGAATCAAATTTTTGATTGATCCTATTTCAAAAGTACCTGACCTGCCAAATAACCCAGAGTTGTGGTCACCATCTGATGTGAAAAAGTTTTTGTTGGCTACAGATTGCAATGCTCATGCTGAAGTTTTATTCAAAGAGGTCTGCTTTATGTTGTGCATAAAGTATATGTTTTTCTATGCTTTTGTAATTTTGTTAAGTATGTTACAAATGGTAAAAAAAACTCTGTTAGCTAAGTTTGATGGTTTATGTTGACAAAGTTAAGATCACTTGAGCAAAAAACCTTTAAAATAATTGAGACAATTAAATTGGTGAAAACAATTGAATTGGTGAAAAGAAGAACAGTACTTTAATATTTTCATTTCGAGATAATTTTTAAGTATTGTTCTTCGACTAGTTTAAATCTACTTTATGGCAAAAGATAATGAAAGAAAGAAGGGCTAATATTATTTTTGTATTACATAGAGAAATCGACATAAGTTAAATGAAATTATGAAAAAAAGTGCAAATAACAAAAATGGACTAGTACTGTTCTCCTTTTCACCGATTCAATTAAGTTTGATGGTTTTTTTATAGACTACAAAAACAAAATTTTCTTGCCCTAAAATTGTTTTTTTCTTTTTATTATATCTAGTATTTATTTTTATTTTTTGAGAGTAGAATGCTATAGGTGTGCATATATTTGTGTATATGTATGTATGTATGGTTTCATATGTATGTATGTATGGCCTAAGTATCAACTATCTTATAACTTGCTGCCGCAAAGGATTGCTGCACATCTATAGTTTTCTACTTTCAAAAAATAAAAATAAATATTGTGTATATTCTACTATTCTTTGTTGGATAAGTTAGTGGAATTGCATGTTAGCTTTTTTTTTTTTTTTCAGGAGGTTGACGGTCGTTCATTCCTTCTTATAACTCAAGAAGCCCTTGTAGAATTTATGGGTATGCGGCTTGGACCAGCTCTAAAAATTGCTAGTTATGCTGCTCAACTTCGTGCACAATTAAGGGTTCAAAATATAAATCTAGCAGATGGTCGTAATTCACCTTCTCATATTTCTAAAATAAAAAAAGCACGTTTGAATGACACTATCTCAAAGTTACAGGAAAAAAAAATATCTAAAGAAAGTTCTTCAAAAACGTTTGATTCAGCTCAAGTATACTATGATAAAATAGAGACATCTGCTGTTGAAGATGATTCGGAAAGTGATAAATTAGATAGTTACTCATCATACAAAAATACTGTTTCAGATAATGTGTGCGACAATAATATAAAAGAAAACTCCTGCGAAAAATCTATCAAGTTTTCAACAAATGCATCTGAAAACAAAAAAAACAATTCTTCACCATCTGAGAGTAGAAATAAAACTTATGTAACAGATATTAAAAATAGTTTGTATTCTGGGAATCTGTCTTATCCTAGTAAATGCAATGAAAATGTGACTGACAATATAGATAGAGATAAAAAAATGATGGACTTAGATGTACCATGTGAGCATATTAACTCGAATAATTACCAAGACTCTGGATTTCCATGCATAAAAAAATTGCCTCAGGAACAATTTCAGCTGAGTGAACCATTTATATCTTCTCAAAGTTTTTCATAATTGTAACATAATTCCTTTTTCATAGAGATATAAGATTATAGCTAATTCCTAAAATAAATATTTCTTGGTTTGACTTGCTCAACATATATTTTGCTATGATAACTGTCCAATATTTCGCTAAGAATGATGTAGTTTGAATGTAAGATTTATGATTTTGTTGAATTTGAGGCTATGAAATATATTTCTTTTTAATTTTAAAAGTATTTTTTAAATGAATTTGTATGTATACATATGTATGTGTGTTAGTGTTAATATATATATATATATATATATATATATATATATATATATATATATATATATATATATATATATATATATATATATATATATATATATATATATATATATATATATATATATATATATAGTGGCCCTTAAAAACAATTTTTGTTTTTATAGTATGCTCCCAACTACTAAAAGTGTTTTCTATAAAAAAAAAAAAAAAAAACATTACTTGGTTTAAAATTTTTTTGAGTAAAAAATATTTTTAAGAGTCCCTCAAAACTCTTGAACATATAAATCATTTTTTGAAAAAAATTATTATTTTAATTTTCTTTTTTTTTAATTTTAAGTAAAATTGTAAAAAATGCATTTTTTTTTTTTTAAGCAATAAAATAAACTTTTTTTTTAATAAAGTGATTATTTTTTTTGAAATTCTTATACATTTTTGCTTCATTTAAGTACCAGATTAACTTACATCTAACCCGTTAAATGTTCCAGGGTCATGAGGGACCTCATAAAATATTTTTTATTCAAAAGAATTTTAAATCTAGTTTATATTGTGGATTTAGAACTTGCATAAAATACATTTGTCAACCTAGGGATTAAAATAAAGTAAATTAAATTAATGTTTTGAAATTTTATATATATTTATATATATATATATATATATATATATATATATATATATATATATATATATATATATATATATATATATATATATAGAGAGAGAGAGAGATTTTTTTATATATATATAAATATGTATTTTTTTTTAAATATAAATAAAAGTATATAAAAAAAGTTCTTAATATACTTTTTAACAACTATTTTTTAAAAGTTTGTTAAAAATATATAAGAAAACACCATCTTTTACAAAATCGATAATTTCTAACACCTGTTTTTAATATTGATATTTAATTATTGAGGGACGCAAATTTTTATTTGTTTAATTGTTGTATAATTTACTTGTTTAAGTCACAAATTTTATTATCCATAAATTGCTAAGGTTTAGGCCAAAGATTGTTATCGTATACATACGTTTATTGATTTCAAAACGGTTTACTTTTCAGGTATCACAATAATAAATATATATAGCCTTGTTACCTTAATATCATGCTGCAAGAAATAATTGATTCGATATTTCAACCTGGTGTTAATAAATCTGTAGTGATTTTTACCTTTTCAGTATTTAGTTTGCTAGTTTTTGTACTTCTTTTGCTGATGATTGTCACAAATCTAAATATTCACGTCATGATAATGTTTATTTTGACCACTTGCGTTTTTGCCTCCTTAGTTTGGTTTTTATTAGAGCTGGAGCACGCGAAAAGCATCTCACAGGACCAACAAAAGAACGATGATAAAAAAGATAATTAGTTTAATATTTTATTTATTAGTTGTTTTGTTTTTTTTCTTAATCCTTAATCCTTGTAAACAAAGATATAATACAGAAAAATGTAACTTAAATACAAACCGAGGTATTGTACCGTATTTTCTCAATTTTTTAAGAAGGATCAAATTTTTTTAAGAAGCAAAAAATTGTGTTGGGTATATATATGTTGAAGGTTGCAGCAGTTTTGAGGTCTGTGCTAGCTTCTGTAGGGTCGCGTACAAAATCAGATTTTATAGCAATTTAAAGAAAAATGAGGTTAAGGTTAGCAATTTTCATTTTAATTTTGCTTTATACCATATAATTGCATTGATTTAGCTATACTACACAAATACAAAAGGTATATATTTTTAAAAACACTTTTTTTTCTTTCTTACACATTACATATACATAAATATGAGCAGCCGTGGCGCAGTGGTAGCGCACTTGCCTCAGAAACAAAGGATCTGTGATTCAAACCCCATCTTTAGGCAAGTTTTGCGATACCAGTTAGGAAAGAGGCGTGGACTTTCAATTAATTGCTCATCTGCGGTGCTCTGTGATAAGATCGTAAGGACTTCTTAGGACACCTAAATAAAAAATATATACTGCCATTTTTAATAAAAATGAATTTTTAAAAATTAAAAAATATATCAAAAAAATTTTAGTATCTATAAAATATATAAACAATTATATATATATATATATAATATATATATATATATATATATATATATATATATATATATATATATATATATATATATACACTCTTGCTTGGTCGTCTTTAATTTTTTATTTTTAAAAGCTAAACTTTTAATTTTTTTTTAAAATAATTCAGAAGACCGGAAAAAGTTAAAAATAATTTTTTTTTAATTGATAGATTGCCTGCCCAAACCAAAACCCTCAGTCAATGTTTAAGCACTCCTCGCATGCTCTACCTATTTGTCAGTTGATTGTAAAAAACTTAATTATTTTTTGATGAGTGACTTTAGGGGCTCCATGAAAAGGTTATGACAATTAACATATCGTCTTATTTTTTTATTTTTGTGTCCCTGACTGATTTAGCTCTAGATAAGGGATCGTCCATAAATTACGTAACGCAAAATTTCATAATAAACAAAACAAAAAAAGATCAAAAATTTTCCCTTGCAGAGTCTTAATTTAAATAAATAATAAAAATTAAGTTAAATGAAAATCACCGCATAAAAAAACTTAATATCTCCTGCTTCTGTTTTTAAAATAATTTTTGCGTTGCGTAATTTATGGACGATTCCTAACATATTAAGCAAGCTGCTTTTTTTGATTTCAATTATTTTTAAATACCTAAGGTGGCCAACCACAATTCAAAACGTACATTTTTTTTTGAGATATTATGAAAAGTGTTTTTCTTTTATTTCAATCGTTGTAGAACATAATTAGAATACTTGCATTTGTCGAATTTGTACATAAACTGGTCTAATTCATTTTAGGAACGATTAGGGTAGACTTTTTTTACCTAGCAACGCCCCTAGCAACCTTTTTTTTTTTCAAGTTAATTTATTACTTTGTGCCTCAACAGATTGTGTCTTAAACTTTTTAGTTTAAGAAATGGTTATGGTTTAAACTATAAAGTTATGGTTATGGTTTTAACTATAAAGCAGTTAGATAGTGCAAAAACTTTGTATGTAACAGTGCAACGTGTTGTCTGCAACGGCGAATTTTCAAATTGATCTCCAGTTACAAGCGGAGTACCGCAAGAGTCTGTCTTGGGTACGTTTATTGTTTATATAAACGACTTACCGAATGAGTTATCAACGAACTGTAAAATGTATGCTAATGATATTAAACTAATTAACATAATTAGATCATCTTCTGATATAGAAAAGACTCAAACAGATCTAAGCAAATTAATGACATGGTCACAATTATGGATATTAAAATTTAATGTCAACAAATGTAAACGCAAACATGTAGGTAGCAAAAATACTAAGCATATATACACAATTTATGATTCGGTGTTAAATAGAGTTGAGCTACCAGAAACCAAAATTGAAAAAGATTTATGAGTTATGATTTCAAACAACTTAAAATGGTCAAGTCAAGTTTATTATGTGTCTGGTAAAGCTAATAAAATGTTAGAAATAATAAAACATTCATTTAAAAACCTAGACATAAACGCATCTAAATTATTGTACACCTCTCTTGTAAGACCGTATCTAGACTACGCAAATTCAATGTGGTATCCTTACTTAGAACAAGATAAAAAAATTGAATCGATACAACGTAAAGCAACACGAGTAAAATGTCTTCATGGGAAAAACTATGAAAGTAGACTAACCTACTTTAAATTAACGACTCTTGAAAAAAGACACAAGCGTAATGACCTAATCCAACTTTACAAAATAGTAAAAAAAATAGATAATTTAATATTGGAATACCCACCAGATTTAATAGCTTCAAATACGAGAGGTCACAATATGATGGTTTTATAGACAATTAACTAAAAATCCAAAGAGGTACTATTTCTTAACGAACCGTGTTATTAACAGCTGGAATAACTTAGATCAAAACAGTGTAGATTCTAAAACACTTAAACAATTAAAATCAAAGTTGGATTTATTTTTAACATAAGTTGGCTGTTAAAACCTAGATCAATTAGGCTCCGTACATTGTCATTGAACATGTACACAGTTATTAAATAAATAAACTTATTAATTATCACCTCTAAAACCAATATACATTTCTTCATGGTATAAAAAATAAACACTGTTATAGAAAAACTAAAAAAATGAGACAAAGATGAGCAAAATTGAACTAGAACTACCCTCAGCACCAATTTTTAACCAATATTACTTATTATTGAAAGCGCAAACTTAAAATTTTTTTAAATATTTTTTTTGAACAAGCTTCCCGACGGGCATTTGTTTTTAAAAGTTACGTTCTAAATGTATTTTAAATGTCTTTTAAACGTTTTTTGCGTAAGAATTTTTAGAAGACGTTTAGAAGACATTTAAAATACATTTAGAACGTAACTTTTAAAAACAAATGCCCGTCGGGTTTGAAGTTATGTCATATTAGGTATGGTTGTATTATCCATTAGTATTATGACCATAATTCTCACTTTTACATTGAAAAGGTTAATCTAATACTTTTAACTCATTTAAAAGATATTTTTTTAAATAAAAAAGTTAATATTTAGCATATAATAAAATCCACGCTATACTACTTTACCCGAACCATATTTTTAAAAGTTAGTGTTCAATTAATATTTATTATAATATCTATAATACTTGTTATCATTTAGTCAGTAATAATAATTATCACCATTTATTTATTTTGAGTTTTGTTTTAAATTTAAGTAATTAAAATGTTAAGATCTAAAACATTCCCAAATACTTTGAATACCCAAAGAATGGATGATCTAAGATCATCGATTTTTTGGGTATTCAAAGCCACTCTCTGATGTGCAACTGCCAACAGGACTAGATGTTATGAGGCATATGGTTTATTTAAAAGAAAATGTAAGCAAGCTATCTTACATATCGTTTGTCAAATAATAATACAATTAGATGTAAACAAATTAGATTTTTGCCTATGCAAAGATGTAAAAAAATGCTGCTGTGCTAA